TCAGACAGGGATCCCGTCCCCGATCACTGTCCAGTGATCCCTGGGTTGGTGGGAGGGCAGGGGTGGGTTGGAATCTTGCCTCTTTCCAGTTGAAGGGTTAAAAAAGAAAGTGACCCAAAGAAAGTGCAGCTTATTGCAAAATTTGAAAAATAAAACTTTAATATCTCCACGGAAAGCAATTCAAAACCTGGGACTATGGTAGAAGTGTGTCTGAGTGTGAGAACGCACATAGCCACTCACACAGCTGATGATCCCTTTACAAGAAAAGAGACTAGAAACAAGCTACAGAGAGTAGCCATCCCACACCCTATCTAAAACATCGAGCAACACTCTGTCCCTAACAACACTAACGTGCAAATTTTCTCCCATTATTGTAACTTGCTCCTGTTCCAGCTGAAAAACACTCTCTCTCCCTCTGCGTGCGCGCACAACTCCCCTCGTTTCCATCTCTCCAACACCATCCCCATCTCAAACGACGCTCCTGTTCATTCTTCACTTCGCCGTACTCTTCGTCCCCTTCTGTCGCCTGCTGGCTTCGTTCTTCTGCAAAATCTTCAACGTGTCCCGCTTCTCAATCTTCCGCAGCTGTTTCTTTTTCAAGCGTTTGATTTTCAGAGGATTACTGATCTGCAGCAGGAGGGAGGGAGAGTGGGGAGCCTTTCATCAGCCACACATGGCAAATTCTCTTTATAATCTTATAGCTGAAATTAAATCCGATTAAGGTTTCTCTTAGCCTGCTCGGAGAATAAGGCGCTACTGATTGGAGATGGAAGAGAGAGACAGAGAGAGAAAACCAGGTGTGGCGCGGAGGGGGAGCGGAGAGACAGAGGGAGAAAAAGGGAGGGTGGGTGAGAATCACGATCAAGGGAGAGAGTGACAGAAGAGGGGGAAGAGGAGAGAGGGAGGGACAGAATCACAAGCACAAGAAAAGACAGGGAAGTAACCGTGGCTGGGTGGAGAGGCGAAGAGGCACAGCTGGAAAGACTGGAGCCGGCTGGGGGAGGTTGGGTAGGGAGGGGAATGATGTAGCAGAACACAAATCATCTGATTATACTCACCACTTGCACCACCTCAGAATTCCTCTCGTTTTCCAGCCTCCGCTTCAAGTTTTCCTCACGTCGAAGTCTCTTTTCCTGAGGGGAGGGACAGCGCGAGGGGAGGGACAGCGCGAGGGGAGGGAC